TCAGTTTTGGTTATTGTTGAAGAGCCAGTTCATTCCTTGGTGGAATTCATGTCAAGGTAGAGATTCTTAAAATTTGGGTGTGACTCGAATTTCTTGTTAAAATAATTTGAGAATTCTAATTGAAGTGCACGTAACGAAGAATTCAAGTTTGGAATGCTATTGAAATCTTATATCAAGTTGAAAATCTATTTTGGATGCCCATTGGGAGTTGAAAATTAGTATTTGACTTAAAGAAGAATTTTGGATAGAGAAAAAAACAAATTCAGATTGCCCAGCGCTGCGGCGCCACCTCTGTTGTTCGGGTTTTTTGCTATTTTCTCTCATAATTCTATTTGGACTCGATCTTTTAACATTCTACTTCATCAACAACTCTACCAAGAAGGTTTGGACGTCCCTTATATGTTCCCTATAAATACTAGAATCTTCTATACAATTTTAATAAGTGTGAGAAAATAGATTACTAGAATTATAGGATCTATTGTAATTTTTCTCTCTTTTCCATTATTCTTGATCCAATAAAATCTCTTAATTCCTCTGTCATATTCTTATCTTTATTATTCTTTTGTTTGATCATATATTTCATTATTATTTGCCATATAATTTCAATATCTCAATCCGATGGTTTGTTTCACAACAATTGGTATCAGAGCAATTCTGATATCTTGTTTGTTTTACAACAGGACCCCTAATCCATTTATGAAGTGTTATATAGAAAATTATGTTGGGTATTCTGAAATAATTAAGAATTTTTTAAAAGTAAGAAATTAATCAGTTTTACTATAGCTATGGATTGGTTGACGGCGTGTGTGGTAGTCAACATTTTTGTCGTTGATTTTAACAACACTATCATTGAATGTCAACAAAGATATTAACAATAAATGTACCAATAACATAATTCAAAATTAATTTTTATTCATCTGTCTATCTAGCTGTAAATTAAATTTGTGTTTCATTAAATATTTGATGTAATGAATTTTCGTAAATAAGCAACTATACGTCTTGAATTAAAAATTTTATTTGCTATGAAATTAGGTTAAAGTGATTTTTAAAAATGGGACAGACCTGTTTG